ACCAGGATCCAACACCTAGCGAGGTGTAAGAAATAATTGGCAGCATGTGAAAAACGGAATACAAGACCGACAAGATTCAGAAGGCAGACACAAACTCAGCTGGAAATGGACGAAGAGTGGGGCTTTTACCGTGAAATCAGCTTACCAGCTGCTGACAGCACATGACCTCCCCCCATCTCAGCTATGGGATCCAATATGGAAGATAAAAGTGCTGTAGCGATGCAGAATGTTTGCATGGCTCCTTGCCCACGAACGTCTTGTTACAAATAAGATGAAATGGCGACAAGGGTTACATGCGACGGGAGCTTGTAACTCTTGTAGGGAACACTTGGAGGATGAATTGCATATGCTGAGAGACTGTCAAGAGAGTAAGTGCCTTTGGACCTCAGTCGTCAAACCGGAGTTCAACTAGGCCTTCTTTAGTGCAAACCTTTAAAACTGGCTAAAACTCAACTGGTCCAAGCCAGTGGGTGTGGAGTCAGAGAACTGGCAAGCCTTGTTCACCACCATCTGCTGGCTACTTTGGAGAAGAAGGAATGAGAGGATACACTCCAATGCTAAAACGGATGTAGGCTCCATATACCCAAGAGCATCAGCAATAGTAAGCTGTATAAAAGCGACCCCTAAGAAACTAACCAACATGCAAGCTCCTCCAGATGTTTGCCCATGTTTGCCCTCGAGGTGACCACATCAGAGAGAATACCAAATAGATTGTTCAGGTTGACGGAGCTTTTTCTTTCCTAACCCAAACAGCAGGATGCGGAGGATCTTAAAAGACACAAATGGCAAAACTGTGGAGGGATTCTACCACAGACTCGACAAAGGGGATGCCTTTATTGCCGATATGGGCTTGCCTCTTAGGTCTCCGGAGAGCATGGGACCTGGGATTCAGAGACCTCATCCTCATGAGTGACTCCACGGATGCACTCCATGCGATCAAGACAGAGGTAACTGATACTCATGAAGACTGGAACATGATTATGGAGATAAAAGGTATGCTGCAACGACAATGGAATGTTGAACTAAGGCTACTAGACCGAGTGGATAACTCTCAAGCAGACAGCCTCGCCAAGAAAGCCCTTACCGCTAGCCTCGGACTGCAAGTTGTTAGTGCTGAGAACCTAGTTGTGTGCATGAGTGCCTAAAGTCTTCTTTTCTTTTCTCTTTCCGGTGTGTCAAAAAAAAATTGTATATTTCATTATAGAATATAAATTTATTTGAGGCACAAATGTCAAAGTAGTCCAGAAAAAAAGTGCAAAACTTCATACAAAAATATTTGGAAGAATGACGTTTCAATCCTTTTGCTATCTCAATATTAACAAATAATTTATACATTATCACTGTGAGAGTTATACTGTACTTCTCCTGTCTTTAATATAAAACCCATTTAACTAATTTGATTAGATTAAGAAAGTTACGTAAGTTAGTTAATTATAAAAAATATAACATGCTTTTCCTAAAACACCATAATCATCTTTCTTAATACTCCATCTCTCTCTTCTACTTGATTATGGTTGAGGAAGGATCTATAGGAGTAATTTAGAGAAAAATGATAAATATGATAAATGGGTTTTATATTTAAGACCAAAACTAATTTAATAATTAGGTCTTATATCAAGGACCGGAGGAGTAATTAAATTTGATACATGCACGCATTTCTTAGGGATATTTACCATCCTTGCATGCAAAATTTCAAATATTTGTTTGAATATTTTTTTCGGTAATATTATTTGTTTAAATTTTGCATTAATGGAGATGTTTGTTTGGCACGCACACTAAGTCCATTATTTCAGGTTAGCACATGCCGAAGGTGAATGACCCTACACGGATCTCATCAAAAGTAGGTACATATTCAATCATATGTACCTTTTTTAGGTAAAACTAGGATATTTTCAAATCATATTAGACTTAAGATTCGTTCTTTTGGGTTGAGAGATAAAGAATAGCTCTACCAATAAGTTTGTTTCCTGAAATTTTTATTTGTGTTCTTTTTCTTAGAGAGTGATCATTATTATTTCAACTAACAGCTTGTTGATCAACCATATATGCTTTCTATTATTTTACTAATGCCTTATTCTTTTGTGTAGCCATAGGCAACCAAAGATTTTGCTAGACACATTTAATATTGTAACATTAGTTAAGCATGATTGAGTTTGCTCAAAAGGTCAAATTTTGTATTTATTTTATTCTTTTGGAGTTAGAAAGTCAACACTTTGTCTGGCTTCAATACCTCAGATCTTTGATCATGATGGTCCCTTTTTCGACGGTGATATTGGCTACATCAGCAAGCGTTGGGTTGAATTCTTTTTTAAGCTTCCATGAAAAATAGTGAGTCTGGCCTTCATATAGTTGTTGAGACACATTTTTTTCCTCCGATTATACCATCTCTAGTTTTAATTATAAGACTATATTTATAATTTACAAACAAAATTTTATAATTAAGACTAGAGATAATATTTTCATTGGCACGTGGTTCACGTTGGAACCTTGGTATAGTTGTTTGATTAGATTAGTTAAATTGGAATTTTAGTTGAAAGATTGCGTTGTTGGAATCCGATTCATAGTTTATAAAGAATTTGAGAATATATATATATATATATATATATATATGTATATGTATGTATGTATTGAAAATTTGGATTAAGCATGTATTTGGGATCGCGTGCGTGGAGGAGGGGAAAAGCCAGGTTGAGCAGGGGAAAAACGGCATTGATCATGAGGAATGACATCAGAGATGCTTTTAGGAAAAAAATTCATTGTTACTGTGGAGAGAGGATAGAAAATGGGAATGAACAGAAAGATGAGGTATTTTAGTGTGTCCTAGCTCCTAACTTGATCTAATAATTTGATGTTTTTCCTGTAATAATTTGATGTTTACAAAAAAAATATTATAGGAAGAAAATAACTAACTAATAAAATTTAATTATTTTAATTTTTTCTTAAATTTATCAAACTGTATACTTTCAGTCTTTAATATAAGATCTAGTAAATCAATTTGAAGAGATTAAAAAAGATAAATTAATTACTTAATTATTTTATGTTACATGATCTCTCTAAAATATTTATGTGTATCACTAGATTAAAATCAATTTATAAATCAAACAAATTAATTTGGAGAAAAACAATACCATTTTCAATTATTTTACATTGAACTTACTTTTTCATTACTTATCCAATCAAGTTTTAATTTATCAGACTAATTTTTATAAAGATCAATTCAAATATAAATCAAATTATATTAATTGACTTTTATCCTAAGTCATGCTTGCAAAAATAAGATAATATAAATGCCACTTTTGTCTAGTTTTGGACTTAACTTTGTCCATTTGTTTTCAAAGTTTTAGGCCATGATTTGTCGTTATCATAGGTGGTACTTGATTATTGTGTTGATTATATGCTTAGTGGAGCAAGGTGTCAAAAGATACTGTTATTCTTCACAAAGATGATGGCTCTTCCTTGGTACGTGGAATCATTTGTCTCCTTAACATTATATGGAGAAAAAGAAATTTGGCTTTACACGAGGGTAATGTGATCCTCCGTTAGTCATAATCAATAAGGTTCTCAATATTCATTCCTTCCTTGCCTTGGCTTTTATGGAGCAAATTTCAAATAATAGCAGCAGTTGCCTAGTGAACCCTCTTGGTTCTTCTATTTATCTTAATGGTTTGGGATGACACGTCTTCTTTTACGAGTATAACAGGTTGAGACAACATTATTGTCATGGTATCATCTGCCATCGTGGTTTGCCCTTGAAGTAGTTTTTGTGGAAGAGTTATTCTACGGATGGCATCTCTTTTATTGGTTAGTGTTTCAGAGTCTTTTTAATTTGGGTCCATGAAGTAGCATCAATACCTTTATTAACAATCACTTGTGTCAACAAAAAGCTTTATTCATATCAGTTGGCAAAGGGCCGGACACTTTTACAAATGGAGTGAGTTTGATCCCTAAGTTGGTCGAGATGCTAAGGGTGGCATATTCGCAGCCTAGTGAAGTTGAGAGATTTCTACCTATTGAACTAGAAAAAAAAAAGTTTGCTTGTTATGCTTTTAAACCCATAAGGACAGGTTCCAGTAGATCATGAGTTAGTTTTTTTGTCCCTGGATCATAGGTGATCTCAACCCCTTTCCTAAAATTTGTGTACCCAAAAAAAAAGAAAAAGAAAAAAAGAAAAAGGCTCCATCTATATCCCAATGTATCCATCCTCCCACTTCAACAAGCAAAGGATTGCTCTTTCTTATTGCATGCCTTTAGTAACTATTCTGTCAAAGTTGTCTCTCTTGTCTTTTTTTTCTTAGTTTTCTTCGCCATTTTGTTTGTGTTAACTTTTTGTGTTATGTAAAACTCTCCTTTATTTAATATTATCAGTTTCTCTTCTTACAAACAAAAGGGGAGCAAGGTGTTATAGTGAGAGAGTGAGCAAGAGAGAATGTGTGTGTTTTATAACCATCTGCATTGAAAGAAATCGAGTTAAATCCTTTTAAGAGAATAATTAAAGAACAAATTTTTGTGACACAAAGTCACGAACTTCAATTTTACTGGGTCAACTTCAATCATGACCGCGTCAATGAAGGGATCTTCACAAAAAGGTTTGGAAACTGAACACCGTTTTGCACGGAAATTGATTGTCAATTTGGTCCTCAGATCTATAAAAATAGTTTTAGAATGTTTTGGATCTTTAATACAAAAAAGTTCGTTTAAAGATGTTATTGAATGATAATTTAGTATTACTATTAAAATCACTTATAAATATATTTTACATAAACTAAGATGAAACTCTTCTCACATGCTTATCTTGTATTTTATAAATTAAGATTAAAAAACTATTTATAAACTATTTCAAATATACCCTAAATATTGGAATATAGCCAAACAGAACATCTTTCAGAACATGGGCCTATAATGTTGTTTAGCCCATTTCCTAAAGCCCAAATAAGCCTATCTCATAAATCGAGGCCCAAAAGTTGCCAAGGAAGAGCAAGAGTAATACCCATCGTTTTGTTGGGAAGCAAATAGTACAGTGAGCTAGAGGAGCAGCACGCCGGGGGAGAGAGAAGAAGAGCGAGAAAAATGAACACGGATATCACCGCATCGACGAAGCCAGAGTATCCAGTGATAGATCGGAACCCTCCTTTTACCAAAGTTGTCGGTAATTTCAACACTCTCGACTATCTTCGCTTCGTCACCCTTACCGGCGTTTCCGTCACCGTTGGCTACCTTTCTGGTATGTCTCTCTCTCTCTCTTTATATACATAAATATATATTTTCGTTTCATGTTTGAAGTTGATGTGTAATGTTGGTTGGTAATTACTTTGCTTGGTTCCTTAACCCCACTGTGGACTTGTCTGGTTCCTTTCAATTGAATCAATCCTTCTGGGGTTTTGTTTGAATTAATGGTTCTGTCAAGTTGAAGGATATTTGTGCGTTTTCGGATTTCTACTCTCTAGTTCGTACATTGGGAAGTATTGCTAATCGAACCTTAGATCCTTCAGCCCCGTTGTCGTCCACCCAATCTTTTAGGGTAGGACTTTTGGAAATTTATAGCAAGGTTCCAATTTGAAACGTGAATTGGCTCTGCATCGCAATTTAAACAAAAAAGGATTGGGCTTGTGGAATTCATGTGGTGTTATCTGTGAAATCGAAATCTTTATGAGTAGTGATCGGCCAGTTGATTCTTCTCCCTGCATTTTGGTTAAACTCTATCTGTGTTGAATACAATGTGTTTCTTATATATTTCTGGAAAGGGTATTCGCTTTCTTGTATTGACAAATAGCAGATAATAATGCTACTGATAAACTTTATGAACATATTGTTTGTTAGTTGAAAACTCGATAGGAATTTTACCGGTTGTTATCGCTTTTCCCTAGTTTAATTGACTTTAGATGATATCACTTGTAGTTAAAATTGCATGAGAGAATTTCCTTCTGACCCTTATAGTGAGTGTAATTTCACCTGTATGCTAAAAATATTGATTAATGTCACAATTTGGTAAGGGGATGTGCAGTAACCAGTGGGAGGACTATAGTGAATAGGGAAATGATACTTGTTCCTCGCAATTATCATTCTCATGCAACTAATTGATTGAATTTACCTTTATGTTAATATTGCGGGAGGTCATGTAGTTATCAATTGACGTGGTTAACTTGCATTGTGGGCATCTTTTACAATTTTTACATAGTTTATTAGGATCACCCATACCCATAAAGGTTTATCAAACTGCCACTGTTTATTGTGTATCTGTTGATGATTTGACTTACTGGACTTAATCTATAAATTAGGGATGTTCTTTGTAAAAATATTTTATGAGGGTTCATAACTATAATTAAACACATGTCTCTGATATTTTAAGTTTTTCTGTTCCTTCTTGATCTCCTCTCTTTTAATAAAGACATAGGCATATGCTGCACATATATTGGGTACATGGATATCCTTAATTTAAGATGAATTTGGAGATTGGAACAAAGTTAATATTTGCCTGACTTCCCAGTCACTGTTGCATGCTATCTCCTATCTTTAGAAAATTCAACATTTAGTTTGAGAATAGGATGCTTGCCGGCACTCCGCTGGTCAGTTCACGGGTTCTTTCGCAATGATGATGTGATATAAGAAATGGGAATTTTGTAGACTTAAGTACTTCTTTATCCCTTTCTTTCCTTCAGGGCTTTTAATATCTAAAACTTGTTAATATTGTGGTTAAAATGACTAACGAAACTTTCCTTAATGCATATAATTTTAGTACTAGTTTGTTTTTATATTTGCTTGTTGATGACAGTTTTGCATCTTTCTGTCACAAGCGAGAGATTATTGGAACCTAATTTGAAGGTCATGGCGGGGCACAAAAAAAAAAAAAAAAAAAAAAAGGAAACAAAGCAAAAATCCACAAGCCTCCTAGCAATTTGAGCGTGCTATGCTCTCCACGCAGATGCTCACATGTTCCTTGCCTCTCATTGACTCCATCACACAATATATTCCCTAATTTATCTCTCACCCTAACATCATACCTCACAACCCATATGCTAGTTACCAGCTTGGTCCATTAGTTATGGACCTATCAATGGTTAATCATTGTTGAAGACTTCAGATTATTTTTACATTCTTCCTTCCAATTTCTATTTGTCATTTTTTTGCGCACTGCATTGATTGTTTTACATCGACCAGGTTTTAACTAATTTGGCATAACTAACTGAGATTTTGTTCAATCTGGACTTGTTGACAAGATTTTAGACGTTAGAAATTAAATCCCTGAGAAGATGTTGCTTCAAAGGTACTCCATTGCCTAAGAATGCAGTTAGTTATTATTTTTACTCCTTGCTGATAAATTCTCTTGGGGCATCTGAATGCATGGTGGAGATTTGCTTATGCTGTGAAATTGAATTCGCATATTCTGAAACCAAGTGAGATCCTGCATGATTTGGTACTAAAATGGTATGTTTATTATATGGTTAAATCCGTTTACCCTTTTTTGCTTAGGGATCAAACCTGGAATCAAGGGTCCATCTATGGTGACTGGGGGTCTGATCGGGTTCATGGGCGGGTTCATGTATGCATACCAAAACTCCGCTGGTCGGCTTATGGGTTTCTTTCCCAATGATGGTGAAGTAGCACGTTACAAGAAATGAGAAATTCCTCGATTTAGTACTTATGTTTTCCCCTTTTCTAGTGGATGTAATATCCGGAACTTGATGTCAACGTTATGGTGATCGAGAATGATGAAATTGTCATTCCTGTATTTCATCCTGTTCATGTTTTCAGTTTGTTCTAAGGTCAGAGCAAAAACCTGTTTGACATCACATTATGATACGACTCTGCCTTGGGGTGCCCCTGAGTTATGCTACTCACGTCACAGAAAATTGTTGTGAAGGTTAACGGTAGTTTGAATTTACTATGTTGAACTTGTGAAGTAGGCCTTTTTTTTTTTGGGAATAAAAAGGCTGTGTAAAACACTCAGAGAGTAGCAAGGTACTAATAGTTTAGGACTGGAATCTTCGATGAGAATGTACTCTGCAGAGGAAATTGCCATGATAATAACATCAACATCCATTTATAATATAAAATCATAGTGTAATGGTTGGCTTCTTTTGATATAAAATCATACGAAGTAGTAGGCCTTTTATAGTATATAGTGAATCTTTGAGGCTATCCTGTTGGTAACTGTGTGATGAAAAAAAAAAAATCAATGAAAACCTATGGCTGGATTAATACTTTAAAGTAAAAGATGTGATGAAAAGTAAATGATATAAAAATAAAATCTAGTGCATTTGAATCTTTTCGAAATACACAACTAAATAGGATGTTGGTGATACATCAATATCAATTGTAGTGGCTATGTAAAGCCGCAATCTGTCATCAAGCTGTTTAAAACTTATTTATACATAAAGAAGTCGTGTTGGTAGCTTCATTTACTCTTTGTTTTTTTTTCCCGGTCAAAGTAATGGTAAGCTTTTTTCACAGAAAGAATTGAAATTTCCAATTCTTTTTTTTTTTTCTCCCTTCAAACGGCAAACTTATTCATGCATCTCTGTCAGTTGCCGACAAAATGGTAAAGAGGCATTTTGACAAATCTTCAAGTTTCAAAATCACAAGTGGCAAGCATGGTGACTGATTTAAGTTGCAGTTTTATTTAACTACTACTATTATTGGTGTATGCACTTGATATTTTAGCACAGTTTCTTATTACGGGAAATTTCACGGGTCTAGATTAACTTGAATTCAAGCCAGAGGCATTCCCAAATTCAAACTCGAGATCTTGATTAAGTTGGGATAATTTTTTTAACCAGTTGATCTAAGCATTGGCGGTTATTTAGCTACTTTATTCTTGATGCAAAGAATCCTTTCTTGTAATAGACAATAACACTTACTATATGGTTTGCCATAAAAAAAAAAAAAAGTAATTCAAGTACTTTCGATACATCCTTGTCAATATAACGGGTAATATAATGAAAATACTCTAAATGAAAAAAAAATACCACGCAATTCAGTTTTAAAAAAAAGAAACTAGACAAATTTAGAGTATTTTTTAGGAGGAACAAACACCCAAATCTGATATTATACCACAAATCCGATATTATACAAATTTTATATACATATATCACTCTCACCAATAAATTTTTAACTGATACTATATTTCCCAAAATTTCCAAAACTCAAAGTACAGAATTGTCTGAATGACTCAAATTTAAAACCTATTTTAGTAGATAGATGGTGAGTGCCAAAAAAAGCCAAAAAACTAGATGGTGAGTGCCAAAAGAATTGGACTGTTGCTTTTTTGGACCTTGAAAAGAATTGGATTATTAGGCATTGGCAAAAGGAAAAAAAAAACGACTATTTGGAGATGCTGGGTGAACAAAAAATTAAATGAAGAAGAAGAAAAAGAAAAGAATGATTTAAATTGTCTTATTTGAATTAAATTGATGATCCCCTCCCATCTTTTGCCAGATACGTGGCATAGTCTTACACCATCAAAGATTTCAATGGCCAAGATTATACGATAATTTGAAGTTTGAATCCAGTTGATCGAATTAGAATTGGATTTCAGGTGACCTGTTTCCTATAATTTGAATAAAAAATAGCCGTTAACTAGAATTCGAATTCAGGCGATTTGTTTCCTCTAATTTGAATAAAAATAACTGTTAATTAGATGATTAATTTTGAGAAGTCAGTCTCTAAAAAATTGTAACGTTGGGCAGAGAAAAATATATATAATCTGCTCTTCTTTTACTCAACCGTGTCGTCACTGAGGATGCTGCTCCTAAGCCACGGCCGTAGTTGCTTCGCCTCCGCCTGCGAAGAAGGATTCCGGAACTGGTGGTGGGGAAGTAGTTAACGCCTCCATCGGCAAGGGTGTGATGAGGAAGGTGATAGGAATCCAGGTCATCGGTGTGGTCGTTTATGATTCGAGGGGCTTGCCTCTGATCTTAACCACGCTTGAGGTTTAGAGCAATTCGATTCGATTGACATTGGGGCTGACTCAACTTTTGGGTTATATATGAACGAAATTGAAGGGATCAGCCTTGCGCCTCCTATTATCGCAAGTCTCGATTCACATTCCATTTCTAGGTTGCGTTTGTGGTTACTGCTTTTGGAGTATTGTAATTTGATTTGGCGACGATGGTTTGGGTTCTTAGGAGATTTCCACTTTCTGGTCGGTTTCTGAACCTTTGGGCAAATGCACCTTGAATCTACGGATTTGAATGCATTTTTCTTTCATTAGGAAATTGACCCAAAACCGTGTATCCTTGTCTTTAAAAATGCTCTGAAGTTACAGTATAGAGTAGTTGGAAAATCATATTGTTCAATTGCTTTGTTAGGGAAAAATGAATTAAAACTTTCTATCTGGGTCATCATCGTAGGATTCCTTTCTGACTTAAACGTCTATGTGATGTTTGATATTCTAGTCTATTTAATGTCCCCTAAGTTTGGGCTTTGGTTTCTGGATATGGTTGTGATTCTGCTCACCTGGTGATACCTATGTTTATTTTGTCTAGCATTTAACACTATATTAGATGTCGGATATGGAGAGCCTATTGACCACAAGGATGAAATCTGTAGCAAACCTTATATCGGTATATATCTATCAAAAACATCATAGTTGCTTTATCTTGTTATTAAGGTGCTTTTACTCACTTTATTGTCTTGCATTCTGTTGAAATTGAGCATTTCTTGCCGCCTAGAGAAAACTCCTGCTTTTGTTGAGAACAATAGATCCTTCTTATAGGAATCAAGGTGTCTTTTCTTCTCCTTCTCACTTTTATTTTCGGTCTGTTTAGTGGCATACAACCTGATTCTTTTCACAGTTCTCCTGTATGCAAATTTGAAAAATAAAGATATGGTGATGTGTTGGTGCTTGAAATTATGTGCTTTTAACTGTTTGTCAATTCAATATTGAAAGTCAGGTCTAATGAGAAATTTAGAGTTACTTATACTAAAATAATAATAAATGAAAACAATAATAACAACTAATCCTAATAATAAAAAAGCTAAAATACTGATAAATTCTAAATAATTCAAACATCCTAGAAATATAATTAAATCATAATTATTTCTTCCCATATCTCATCATTTCTCCTCCACTTAAAGGAGGCCTGAGCCATCAGGGAGATATTATTGTGGAAGGGCTAGAATTCTAACCTTGTGCCAGGACCTACGGGCCAAGGGACAGTCTCAGGTAGACAGTTTCTATGGGGTGTAGGCCTCCCAAAAGGTAACAGAGGATTGGCTTTGGACAAGCTAAAAGTGATGCACAAAGTGTGGGAGGTTGACAAAACTTCAATATGGCACTTACGTTTGGAAATCCCTTCCAATAGGTGATCTAAAACAAAGAAGAAGAAAGAGGAGAAATAAAAATCAGAGCAGAGAAAGGAGAAGAGATCGAGAAAAGAAGGCAGAGAGATGCAGAAGGAGAACTGAGGGAGAAACTGTAGTCTGAATAATTCAATCGATGTCTGAAATCTATCGTAACTGACAATCACAAATGCTAATCCTAATCAGAGTCTTAAAATAATAAAATGACAATAAATTAAAATAATCCTAAAGTAATAATCTAAATCATATCCTAACAATAAAATCTTAAATTTAATCTAATAATAATTATCCTTATCTAGAAGGGTAGGGTAGGCGGGATAAAGAATTTAGCATAGCACTTTGATATGGAAATCCCTTCCAATAGATAAGGTACCAGAAGAGAAAACCTTGGAAGGAGTGAGCATCTGGAAAAGCATTTGGAAAACGTTTCCAGTAAGACAAGATATTGTTGGAGTGATTCATTCAGCAATGAGGCAATCTTAGAAGGTGTAGCTCCCAAACAAGGCGACACTATAGAATGATTACTATAAAATGATTAAGTTAATTCTTGCTAGCCAATTGAACAACATGTTGACTACTATGAATCGGCTCTACATAAGTTGTGGGCACTATTTCAATTGGCTTTACAATATCTTCTTCTGTGTTTAATGAAGGAGCTTTGACCTCTGTTAGTTTAGTTACTTCAAAAGCCTCTTCCACTTGATTTTGAATCATTGATGAATTTCACAAGCTTATCAATTCCCTTGTATATTGCTTTTCAAACTTATTGAGTATATAGTTGCATGATTTTTATCGAGTACATAGTCATTTGCTTCAAATTGTTCTATTTGAACTTTGCAAATCAAGTTTTCGCTGCACGACATGCTCAAAACGATAATCATTTTTAGCATAGTGTCTCATACTTAGAACTAAGTAACATGATAATTCTTTTCTTGTTCTTCCTCCTTTTCTTTTAGATTTTTATCTCTATTTTTTTCTCTAAAATTGCAAACAACTAAATACAACAAATAAATATTGATAAAGAAATCGAAAAAGAAAAATACCCCAATATTTTAATAGCTTTTAGAGCATTTGAGGTCGCCTATAAGTGGGTCGAAAGTGTAATTTTTACCAAAAGGTCCAAAGGTGAACTTTTCTCGAAAATCTAGATATGAAAGTCAATTTTTTTGCCAAAATCAAATTAGATGCTGTGATAGCATGGGATTTGAACATTAGACAGCAAGATATACATGGAGGCATGCGACAAACAAAGCCTTTTGATGTTCAAACTCGTGGATTGGGCCACATTCTTGCCGGCGAAGATGATTGTAGTAGGGATAGGTGGCAGCAAAAGGGGGACAAAGGTTATGGTGGTACAAAAGTCGGGAGAAAGGAGAAGAGATCGCGAAAAGATGTAGAAGGAGAATTGAGGGAGAAACTGTAGTAGAATCCCAACAATATTTATAAAGTAAATAATAATAAATGATACCACTTCGGGGTGTTAGCTAAAACAAACTAAGTTATAACATAGTATGATATTCAAAGCTTTAGTCCAGATAAGAACACTCATTCTCAACTCATCAACGGGCCACATTAGGATTCTTATCTTTGAATACCAGATCTAAGATAACTGACAAAGTCATTACTAAACACACCTTAATAGATCGTAGTCAGATTCTATTTCTGATACACAGCATATTCAGAATTTTTAGTAACAGAAGAAATGTATTATAATTAAGACTTTCAAAAGAAGAGAGAAAATTTAGAGAGAATA